GCGTGCGTGCGTGCGTGTGTGTGTGTGTGTGTGTCAAAATCTCACGGTGAGAGAGAGCGACGAGTCAGTTGTTTCTCTCCGCCCGAGAGCTCGCCGCTCCGGCTCAGCTGGTAGGTGAACGTGGTCGACACCAAGGAGGTTACAGTTGTTTTAAGCTCCTTGGTCGACACGCAGAGGGTTGGAGACAATGAGCTTATAGCTGTAAACTCCTTGGTCGGAGATCAAACCTTTCGGCACTTACAATGCCTTATTGGGTTGCAAGTGCCGTAAAGCACTTACTAAAACAAAACTAAACCAGGAGACCAAACCAGACTGACAAGAGTGTAAATTTGATTGTTCGCGTTCTTCCTAGAACCACCGAAACTGCCCAGTGGGAGGATCAACGTCGCCTATCTTCTACTAAAAGCCACGCACAACTTATGCGAAAGAGAAAAAAAAATAAGAAGAGAAAAAAACAACTAAAAAAAACAACTAAAAACAAAAACAAAAACAAAAACAAAAACTCACAAGTCTGAGGTCTTGAGTGAAGAGCAGCAAGCACGTCGACACAATTACGATGATATTAAAATATAATGCTGGGAAAGCAAGACGGATAGACAGAAAAAAGGAGGGAAAGAAAAGAAAAGAGAGAAAAGGAAAGAGAGAAAAGAAAAGAAAAGGAAAGGAAGGAAAAGGAAAGAAAAGGAAAGAAAAGAAGTAGTACCTACCAATGGCGCCCTCCAACCAACCGCGACGAAGGTGTGTGTCAAGAACAATGAGCAAGTTTCCGCGACGAAGGTGTGTGTCAAGAACAATGAGCAAGTTCAAAACAACTTAACGCTAAAACAGAGAGGAAGGAGAGACACACGGACTGGTTAAACAGTGGGAAAAGCTGGAGCTGTTGTACGTGTATAATAAACAAACCACCAGAGGGCCACGGTCAGACTCCGAGAGTAATACATGTACAGTATCTAGTCATGAGTGCTCTCTTTTGTTTATCTTCAGCTCTCTGTTTTTGTTCATTTGAGATCTTTGTTTTGAGTACAACGCCCCAAAGAGACAGTGCATGATTTCCAACGGACGATTAAGCCCTAGTGATAGTACATGTAGTATAAATATGTTAAATAAATAAAAGACAATTACCCCCCTCTCTCTTTTCTCTCTCTCTCTCTCTCTCTCTCTCTCTCTCTCTCTCTCTCTCTCTCTCT